CTTCTTCTTCTTCTTCTTCTTCTTCTTTTTAAGAGGGAGGAGTAGATTATTTATGACTGCTGCTTGAAAGTTCAGTGTTTAAGGGGAGCAAAAGAGAGAAAAAAAAAGAAAGATTCTGAAAAACAATGGCAATTAATTTGTGTCTAGAAGAATGAGGTGCTAAAAACTGATTTTATTTGTTGCTCTTTTTTTTTCGTTTTGGCACCAAAAAATGAAAGAGAGGGAATAGAGGTAAGCTTTGTTCTTCTCTTTATTCCTCTTTTTTTTTTTCCTTGCATCAGCAGCAGTAGCCAATTTGGATTGGGATGGAATTGGGAGGGGGTCTTTTTGTTAGCAGAAGCCTAATAGTGATGGTTGACCTGATCGAGCAACCCTAACAACGGTGGTCCGTCCGGGTTTTTCGCATAGATTCATGAGGAACAACGAACTGTTGTCAGGGCCAAGATTGGTTGTGTTTTTTTTTTTTTTTGGTTTCCTGGAAACCGCGGTTTGTTCATTTTTGTTCATTTTTGTGTTTCTTTGGTGTTTTGAATCCGCCGTTTGATTTTGCTTCAATTCAATGTTCGTTTATTTGATCATCAAACAGTTTTCTTTGACTGTTTTTTATCTTGTTTTAATTTTATATACAGTAAACGTATAGGATTGGTTTTGCAAAAAAGAATAACTGTCTGAGCAATTATATATAAACAAAGTGCAGATAAATTCAATCAGAAGGATAGATTTATTCCGTTTTTTTTTTTTTGTAGCCACTTTTCTTGACGTTTAAATTTCCTTTTTTTTCTTCGCACTTCTGTTGAGTCGAACTTTTTTTATTTTTGTCATTGACTGCTAAAAAAAAAAGTGTCAAATTAAAATCGCTTCTTACAAAAATTTTACTACAAGTTGGAAAAAAAAAGTTTTTTTTTTTACTTTAATTGTTTTAAGGTGTGCAAAAAAAGAGGGAGAGTGTTTTGTTCAAGTTTTCCTTTATGGTTTTATATGAATTGACGCTTTTTAATTTTAAATTTTATCTCTTTTTTTTACTTCTTTTTTTTTTAAAGGCAAATAATTTTTCATTTTCTATTATTGAAGAAAAATGCACAAATTTACTGAACAAAAAAAGAAAAAGGAGGAAAATCTT